CAAAAACTGCTTTTATCCTAATGCATAATGGAACACTGGGATATGTTTTGGAATACTACCTTTAGATTCCAGTGTTACTTTGTTTAGCGAAAAATGCAATCTACCTCTCTAAATCATTCCTGGCCAGACAGAAATAATGATGATACCATACTATCCTTGCAACGGTTTAAAACAAATAAACGAGCTTTGCATCTGAAAGTTCGCATGCTTTAAAGAAATGTCTGAGCAATATTCATTTTACATATTATGCGCTCGTAGCGATATAATTTACCTTAACATTTTCTTCGATGTTAATAATCTTTTGTGAAGTAGTTGAGATACGTTCCTCATTTATTCCGATGTCCTAGATTTGATCCTCAGACATTCAAATTTATCCGGACTTGTCAGTTAACATGAATCTATTCTATGTCTTAATTCTTACTTTACTCACGTTCCCTTACAGGACATCTACGTCATTTTCGTGGGTGGGTGGGGGGGGGGGGGGTTTCTCTCCATTTCTTCACATATAGGGCACTAACTGTTGGGATGTCTTTATTTTTTTTTCAAATTGAACAAAATGCTGAAAAGAGCCTATAACAAAATCATTTTTGTCTGGAAAAACACAATATTTAGGCCACCCCAAAAAGGACAGTATGTCTGGATCAATAAATCTGTTTGAAAAGGCTGCCAGGACGCAGGTATTATAGAAAGAGCAAATCTATCTTTTAACAAAAATACAATGTTGAATTGGATTAGAAGTTTCCGGGAATCGTGCCCTTCCCCAAACACAAATAATAGCCTGCCAGCTGGGGTTGACACTCTAAAAAAGTTCCAGTGCCACCACAAGAGGCCCGCAATCCATAACTTTCCAGCAGTTTTTGCCCATCGCCAGGGGATATTTATTTCCTGGATTATTGCGTCCATCATGTTTTGATTACAGCGTCAACTTTCCCCCCAGACATGCACTGAAAAGGGGAGTACCAGGAGGGGCAGAAGGAAGAGTGGGGAAAAAAATCTAACATAAAGAAACAAACCAAAAGCAAAGACAAGCAAAACAAAAGCTGAAACAGCAACTTAAAACAACACAGTAGCAAACAAACAAAACAAAACAAAAAAGCCGTAGCTAAATGGTTAACAACCCCCAAAAAGAAAAAAAAAGAAAGAAAGCAGCTGGAATCAATAATTATAATGGCAAAGCAAATAAGATGGTTCATAGTTCCGAGAGCTCTCTTGCTTGACAATACGTTTATTTATCGTTTCTCGCATTCAGAGCAATAATTTCGCTTTTTGCTAAACAACAGAAACATGGGTTTACTTGTCGCCTGGCGGCACTCAAGCGCTTCTAAATGAACGACCAATATATTCCCACGAGGAATAAGAGGAATGATGATGTTGATTTTGACGAGCCCCATCGGTTATACAAAAAACCCAAACAATTCTACGTAGACAGTCAGGAAAAAAATCACTCTTTGTGTTGATGACCACGGCGTCCTTGAGGCAGTGAGCGTGGTTGTCAATAACAAAAAAACCCAAACCCAGTTCATATTTGCCTACGCTCATACTATCCCTATATTTGGGTCATACCAATATCATACTCGTAATTATACTGAGTACGCGTTTTGATAGTTGACAGAACTATGGCAGGCTTGGGGTTTGAGAATCAGCATGATTCTCCACCCCATCCCCACACGCCCGACCGACCGACCCATCCACCCTACTTCCTTCCTTCCTGTCGCCTCACTTGTCCTTACCCACAATTCCCTTTGGTAAATCGTTTTCTTTAGTCTTAGATTCTCGAGGGGAAAAACCCAAACCATTTCAAAAAATAAAAGCAACGAGATCGAACAGAGAAATGAGGTCGGTCTTTGGTTGGAATTGTAAAGCTCAGTCCACATTTTCTAGTCAAACGAATTCCAGAAAACACATTGAATGGATCAATGGAAGCGGCAAAACGAAAATAGAGTAGAAGGGGCAATCACAACAACTTGCTCGACATGCACTCGCAAGAGAGACAGAGAGAGAGAGAGAGAGAGACAGAGAGACAGAGAGACAGAGAGACAGAGAGACAGAGAGACAGAGAGACAGAGAGACAGAGATACAGAGAGAGACAGAGACAGAGAGAGAGAGAGAGAGAGAGAGAGAGAGAGAGAGAGAGAGAGAGAGAGGTGGGGGACAGACTGACAGAAAGAGGGAGAGACAGAGAGATAGATAGAGAGAGAGAGACATACAGAGAGAGAGGGGGAGAAAGAGAGAGAGAGAGCGAGAGAGAGAGAGAGAGAGAGAGAGAGAGAGGGGGGGGGGCAGAGAGAAAGAAGGAGAGCGAACATGAGATTGAGACAGAAAGAAAGAAATGTACATTCATTATACTGTAGATATATCACAATGAGGCAGATTGAAAGAGATACGGAAATATTGAAGAGAGAGAATGAGAGAGAGAGAGAGAGAGAGAGAGAGAGAGAGAGAGAGAGAGAGAGAGAGAAAGAAATAAAAAGAGAGATCGCAGAAATCAAAGCAGTTTTGTTTTCTTGGCTGATTGTGGTGTCGTTGTCATTGGTTTCTTTAAAGCTATGTACAGAGCAAAGAAACGAGAAAGAACTGAATGTCGTACTATGTAGCCTGTAATTTTTTACAGTGATGGAATGTAAGCTTGTAGAGATTATAGTGTACGGTGAGTGGGGACTGAGCCTCATCGAGCCAGGGTGGGGTTGGGGTGGGGGTGGGGGTTCTTTTTGCTTTGAGGCGGGTAAGGGGGGGGGGGGGTTGGTTTAAGGAGAGATGGAGGATTGGGTTTGGTGTTTTTTTCTTCAGTACTCTGTTCCAGTAAATGTAATACTATCCTTTGTTCACATTAAAGTTAATCGATGGCTTGCCACGTTATAATAATACTCTGAAATTTTGGATTTAACTCCTTCCCCTTTTCCCCTGTTACAGATCTGTTTAAGACAGCACACACAATTATTGTAAAATCACAAAGTATTTCGTTTAAGGGTAAAGTGCAATGATATCTTTTTTATAATTAACACCTGCCACTTTTAAGGAAAAATTCAAGAAACTTATGATCTCAAGACAGAAAAAAGACCAATCTGAGTGAATGTTAATAAACTCATTTACTCGTTGCTCAGAAGGCAAATTTTGAAATTAAAATAGAATTGATTTTTAAAAGAGGAAAAAAAACCCAACAACCCTGTAATCTGCCTCTGTCTCGTGAATTGCATCATAACATTCATAACATATTAATAGTCTAAGAGATATACAAACCTTGGGTAGATTAACATAACAAAACTTATAGAGATAATAGACAAACAAATAGATGTTTCAGCAGAGAAAGAAACGTATAAATAAAGAAGGCAAGCTAAAGAAAAATTCCCCTCAGCTTCCATCTGAGCAGGGCTATTCCACGGTAACTGACGGGATATTTGGACTACACTTTCTTACATTGTAAATCAATATCTATTAATTTAGTCCTACTTTAAACGATCAGAATATTTGAAAGACATACTAAGAATAGTATTAAATACAGTCATCAGAAGAAAAATCGTACATTATGCAAATTCTATCACATGTTTAGTATTGGTAACTGACGGGAAAAAAGAGGTATTTTTCTGTCCCGTTGGTTACCGTGGAATAGCCCTGGGTAGCTGTTTGTCATCCTTAAGTACGCTTTGGTTTGTGCTATCCAGCCGATATCTACGTTAGACTATAGTATTACATTTTTGTGTTTGTAGTTTTAAATATGAGAACATTCTTTACAGTGTTTGAGTGTCTTAGCCTAGTGGCCCGACTACATTTCGACGAAACATCAGGCTAACCAACAGCTTTATCGGTGAGTTGTAGAACATTAAAATAAGAAAAGCACGACTAAATGCGTCACGACGTGGTGGAATCAGGCGCTCGCCAATTTTAGAGCATTTGAAGTTATGGGTATTATCTTAATGCTTGTTCATTTGTCTTGTTTTCTAAGACCGTTCTATCTTTAATAGAAGGAGAGATATTCTGGATTAAAGGAGTGGAGTTCACCTGGCTTTAGAGGTAAAGCGCATGGAGCATGCTCTTGAGCATGGATATGCGCTATATAAATGCAATTATTATTATTATTGTTATTATTATTATTATTATTATTATTATTATTATTATTATTAAAATTATCGAGAAAATAGCTGCCAAAACCAACCGGAGAGTCCTTGGAAACTGTAAATTTACAATTCTGTGCCTTTAGTCGGCGTTTTTCTGTAAAATTCACACAGGATATTTTTTTTTTAAATAGACATATAAAAAAAATTACATAAATATAGCCAAACCGGCGGTTTGAAAATGCCGGTTTATCTGATTTCATTGTTATGATGAGCGCATGATAGTGCTTGGCATATTATAATTATGTCGTGTTGGTGCGGTAGACTTCTGCTAATTGCATCGTCCACAACTCCCTGACAAAACTGGTGGGCAACAGCTTTGTCGTAGTTCGATACTAGATTAAAATCTGTCGTGAAAAACAGCGTCGGTTGAACATAAACGTGGCTTTATGAAATAGACACAAAATGGACTACACTTACACTTACGCCCTTACAAACACAGGCGGACACGTGCAACTACAGACATACTTACAGACATGCACACACACATACACACACTTTCACACACACAAGCGCGCGCACACACACATACATACACACATACACACACATATACAAACGCGCGCACGTGCAGGTGCACTCACACAAAAACATACACACAGAGAAACTTCCTTTCATGATGTTGTTATAAAAGCATTTAGATTTGTAAGACAATAAATAAGCATAGACTGTGTCTCTGTGAGAACTTTTAGTTTAATATATTATAACTCGAAGACGACAGACACTGAAAAACACCTGAGATTCTGTGAATAGCTCTACAGTACTGTCCGTGAGTTCGTAGGACCTTTTTAAAGAAAATGTTTCCATCTTCGATTATATCTAAAATCTTCAAGTCAAAGAAGGAATGTCCTAAGTAGCCGTAAGAATAATGTATTTAAAAAAACGCATTCCTTTTTTTTTTTGAAACATGTTGATTATTTCCCCTACTACTAAAGAACAGGTCGATAATAATAATGTATATGTAGATGAGCATGGGCTCTTTATTAAAAGGGAAATTGAAACAGAAATAACAACAACAAAAATAACAAAAACAAAAAACAAGAAATAACAACAATAACAGCAGTAACAGCACCAGCAGCAGCACAAAAACAACAACAGCAACATGAATTACAATAGGCACTTAACGAAGATAGGAAGTATAGTGAATAAAACAAACTTACCGGGATTAGTTATTCACTTGTCTTCACAGTTTGAATATATCCAGAAAATAGCGTCCCAAAACAGAAATGCACACAATATGGAATCCTCCAAAATCCAGTTTGTTATAAGTTCACTTGAGTAAATTCACCAAAAAAATGAACTCCAATTTCACCACAGATCAGCCAAGAGATCAACCTCAGGTGCTCTGAAAATGTACAGAAAGCAGCTATAAAATGAAAGAACTTTCTGAAAAAGTTGTACAAAGGCGAATGTTTCACAAATTAGGATTTTTGAATTAAAAAACAATAACAAGATAACAAATGAAATCGAAACTTAGTAAAAGAAAGTTAACAACAACATTTCTGATTTTGAAGCTTATTGTTATTAAAAGTCGAAATTTATGTTATTCTTGATCTCGTGAGAGAAATACAACCAAAGAAATCCTATTAAGGGCGACAAAACAAAAATAATTTAAAAAAGTAATACACTTCCCCCAAACAATAAAGTATATTATTATCTTTCCTCTACTTTTTAGGAATAAAAACACATTAAAACACACGTTCAATTGTCCATTTAGGACCGGAAAGAGGACTCAACAATGAAAGAACAGGAACAAGAAAGAAGAAATTATGAATCACCATCCAAGGCCGGGGTTGTATCACGTCGTATTCCTTGTTGCGGTGATGAGAGCGTGCCAATCGCGCATTCACAAGGTAACAGAGACCTCACCCGCGTCGCGTTTTCTCTCCCAAGGCCTCGCTCGATCTCACCACAGCCTCACCGTCACTCACTCTCCTCACTCATACCCTCACAAGCACCCACACCCCCACACGCGCACTCACAGTCACACGCGCACGCTGTTGCCCTCCCATCGCCCCATCAGCAGAAGGCTGCTATGGGTATCGCCCTTGCGCCACTCAAGCGTGAGCGCCAGTCGGATACTTGTAGAGCTTGTCGCGTGCTGTGCTTTTGTGTATGCGCTGAAACAGCAACGGGAACTCCCTTTTGCTTTCATTCTTTCTTTTTTTTTTTTTGTCACGCGAGAGAAAAGGAAAATGAGAACAAGAAGTAGTAAACATTGGTGAAAAAAACAGGAGAAGGGGAATGAGTGGTTTGAAGAGGGGGGAGAGTGGTTAAGAAGTGTGCTTGAGTGTGTGTCTATGGTTTGTGCTGTGAATGTGTGCGTACCTGTTTTAAAGGATTCTCTGGAGCAAGTAGGTGCACCTGTGTGTTTATTAAATATGATTTTAATGTGATCGTGTGTGTTTGTTGGTGTGTGTGTGGGGGG